ACAGGACCTGGTATATTCCCGAGCGGTCACCCATCTAAATACTGACCAGGCTCGACGTTACTTATCTTCGGTGATCGTACGAGAATCAGTGTTTCAACGTGATATGCTTGTAAAATAATAAAAAACAAACAAACAAAAAACAAAACAAATGTATAAGTACAAATAAACTTTTAATCTCTTTTAAGTGTCTATAAGAACCATTTCTGCCATCCATCAATATGGCTGATGCTAACCCCAAGGCCTTCACGTTTTCCTTTCACATGAAGTGGATAGATGATATTGAATCCGTTACTAGGCCTCCTGCTAGGAAATTTGGTTCACTCTTCACAATTTATCTTGCACTGAATACTACTGCCACATGTGCACTGTTTCTCTTGTCATATATTTAGATATTATTGAACAAAAGAGTCTGCATTTATTTGTTATTGGTCCTGACCTGGCATTTCGGCTTCATTCACTTTTCCAATGCCGTAACGTAGCTTCCCTGTGCCATTTCTATAAATATTTTTATGATCATTTTTCTGATAAACTTCCCTCTTTGGCCACGGGTCAGTTCACATGATTTCTTTAACCAGTAACAGATCACTTTACGCCCGCTGGTGTTTCATTTTTTTTTAAAGAATTCTGCAAAAGAAAACGCATCAAGATTGATAAAAGTCGGTCTATAAAGAAAAATCTATTCGGAAATGTCTCAAAGGCCGACCCAGCAGACAAGAAATCATCAACAAACCCCAAATGACGGGTGGAGATAAAACAAATGATAATGGAAAAAAGATGATGGTCGATAATGGCCAAAAGAAGAATGAAAATGTGATAGCCCAAAACGGCCAAAACAAACACAGCCCCAAAACAAAAGATGACGTTCGATATATGGAAGGAAAAAATGGCCATAATACCAAAGAAGTCGAAGAAAAGATGGTGTCAAATAATGGCCAAAAGAAGAATAAAAATATGGTGACCCAAAACGACCAAAACAAAGACCAAGAAAAGCTAGTGGCCGAAAATGGTGACCAGAAGAAAAATCAAACAGACAAAGCAGTGGCCAGGGAATCACCGTGTAGCTTAGAAGTCCCCACCAGTATGCAATCTAAACTCGATGGAATTTCTGGAAAGGGCCAGAGGATATGCTCATCTTATCAAAGGTGGCTGACTCTTAATCGATGAACAGGAATTATAGACGTTTGTAAAGCGAACAGTGTCCGTCTTCGTGGTCGACAAGCGATTTGTCGTTCCATTAAAATCATAGTGGAGAAGTCTCTGGAGTCCTTGAGCAAATTATCAAAAGCTCCGAGTTTTTCATGTGAGACATTCTGTTGCCGATGCCAGAGGAGTGTATGGTGGTGGTGGGCAGAGAGTTCATCACCAAGGACATTATACTCAGGTCGGCGTATGGGGGAAGGCGAAGGAACAGAGTGTCAGTTTTTTTGGTCCATCCACATATAAAGTAGGAGCATCTAGCCTTGTATCACGGACAGTATGGCAAAATTCTAGATGTCTCCTCTGATCGTAGGCATGGGGAATAGAGATTTAATATTATACTGGACAAGCAAGTCGATATATCTCGTATGAACTATCGAATCCGGGCCGCCACTACTTGGCCACACTTATTCCCCGAGGTATTCATTTCTAAACTTATCGACCAGATCAGACTGATCGATAAAATCTCGAAATAGTTTCACATCAGTGTCAGTATCCGATCTTTCCCCACTACGATCTATATCAAGATCAAGGACGGCGTTCAAATCACCCGCTAAAACCTGCCGAGACGTCGTCAAAAATGGCTCAACTCGTCGAAAAAGACCGCCCGCGCCCCTCTGTCGTTGGGCGCATAAACCCCATTGAAACGAAGAGCATACTGTACCAGTTTTTATGGTGCCGTCATAGGATATGCTCCCAATGTCTCAGGAAAAGGTTAACTTAAGGGACCTATGTAGGCTGGGGTGAACCAAAGTGGGGACCCGTCCACAAGAAAAATTGCTGAATTTCGCTTTATAGATGTGTGTAATGAGTATCCAGATAATTTAGTTAGAAAACAAAAAGTGTCTGGGGTTTACTCTCCCAAGTGTCACATTGCCGGGCGGGCAACGGGTGACTACGAACGAATGCATTTGTGAGGGTTTCGGTTCTTCTTTCAGGAACTCTTCACCATAGAGCCAGGACTGAGCCCTGTTCAGTTGCCCGTGTTTGTTCCTCAGCCAGCGCTGATGTTCAACCATTGGTTAAAGAATGGGAATATACCCCAACGCTACATCTGAGGTGTCATCAAGCTACATAAGAGCACAAACGGTGGGGACGGGTTAGGTAATTTTTGCTTTTTAATGCAGTGTTGAGAATTTTGACAAAGGATATAGCAAAACGCTTGCCTACCTAGTCTGATTAGTTCCGAGCAATTTGTAAGCACCACCTCCGTCTGCAAGTACGGCCCTAGTATTGTTGCAGTGTGGTTTTATCTGACCGTCACGGTTTTCAGTTATTTATAAATATAGGAGAGGGGGACTTAGTCCACAAATCCTCTCTCCAAAACGGCCCCAAAATCAATTTTCAGTCGATTTTTATTTCATAATTATCGAATTTCCGTTACTTTCTTTACACTGTTTTCTGTTTATTTTTCTTTTAATTTTTACTATCAGCGTTTATATTTTTATTTTTGAATTTATGTACTTCGAACTTTGTTTTCGTTTTAATTTAATACAGTTTCTAAGCCGGGATTATGCTTTTATTTACTTCCTGTAACTGTTCAGCTTCACTTTGTTTTTATTATTCACGCTGAACTTTCTGTTTTTCTTCTTACTTTACATATTCTTATTTGACTGACGTCAAACACATCTCTTTTACTGGTATAACCAACATCCTAATTTTGTTTTGAGTTTTATTTTTGTTGTTTAGCGCCGTCGCCTCCCTCTGTCTGTTCTACAAATACTTTCATGGAAATTGCTCCGAGGAGCTGCATTCGCTGGTTCCCAGACGTCATGAGTTCCAGCGCCTCACGAGGCTGGCATCCCGCTCTCACCCCTTCACTGTCGAAACTCCTAAATGTAGCCGTCTCTTCTACTCTAATAGCTTTATGTCTCGCACCTCTCGCCTGTGGAATTCCCTTCCCTTCTCCTGTTTCCCTGTTAGCTATAATCTCCAGCTATTCAAGTGGAATGTCAATCGACATCTCCAGTTGCCTTGATCTATCCACTACCCTCACCCTTTCTTCTATCACTCCTATCTAATCTTGCTCTAAATTTTCTGTAACCCCTTGTATCCTAGTGGCTTCCCGCCTTGCTTGGGGGGAAATGCTTAAAAAAAAAAAAAGAAATCTGAGTTAATTTTAATATTTTAATTAGTGCCTTTTCAAGGAAACTTTAATAAGTCTCTGTATTTTATTGGTTATAGTTTTTAGTTGAAGTTTGTTTTTGGTTTCTTCTTTATTTCTTTAGTTCCTTTATAAAATAAAAATTGTCCTTGACTGGTTTAAAAAAGATACCCGCTGATCATGGACGACAAAAGTCGGTCTGTAAAGAAAAATTTTTAGGGAGGCTTCGAAGTTTGACCAACCCGACAAAATGGTAAAAGCAAAAAATCAAGCTGCTGGCGAAAAAAAAGTATGGTGGCCAAAAAGGGTTAAAAAGAAGAATTCAGAAAATGAAAGTATGGTGACTCAAAATGGCCAAAAGAAGATTAATGAAACAAGTAAAGACAACCAATCTGTGGTAGCCCAAATTGACCAAAATAAGAACAATGACCCCCCCCCCACATAAAAAAATATAGAATGATGGCAGAATATGGCCAAGAAAAGAAGAAAGAGCCCAATCAGAATAATGCCAGTGCTGCGTCCGGGGAATCGCTCTTCAGCTAGAAGTCCCCGGTAGTGAGTTCTAGCTACCCCGACCGAGTTCTAGTTAAGAGATTTGATGTAGGGTTCTTAGATTGTCCAATTTTTCATTCTATAGTTTACACAAATTATATGATCGTCGGGGTTCGTGTAAGCTTAGATATGCCAAAGGTTAGCATGGCTGGCTACTGGAAATTCAACGCATAATTGTTTGGGGACTTAGATTTCCAGGACCAGCAGCTATTAATTCTCCAACGGGAATTGGTGGGCTGTAGTTGTGAATATGTGGTGGCATAAATTAAAATCCAAAATGATACCGTTTCCTACTGATTATAGTCGTCAATTCAATCTAGTTAGATTAGCAGCGCAGTGTTGTATATGAGGGAATAACTGATCGGGTGATGAAATCCCTTGATAGTTGGGAAGTAGCCTTATCTAGGGCGGAGATAGCCTCGTTGCTTATCAAGAAGGAACAAGGTCTGATAGAGCTAAGTTAAAAATAATGTCTCCCGAGGAGAGGAATATGTCAGCTGAATTGCGTTCATAGGAAGTTAGAAAAGCATCCAATAGACATATCGCATGCGTCACGTTGCCGGATAAGCGGACCGTGACAACAAATGCAGGCATATGTGAGGCCTTTCGTAACTACTTTCAGGATCTATTCACGAGCGAGACCTGTCTGAGAACGGCTCAGTTCGATACCTATTTGGCCGATTTTCCCCAACTCGAGATGGCTGAAGCGGCTGGGTGCGGGGTCCAATCAAAGAATAGGAAATCTGGGAAGAACTGAAGCTGGTTGGCCGAGACAAAACTCCGAGATTAGATGGTCTTCCTTACGAAATGTACATGGGGCAGCCCCTCCTTCTTATTCCTCTGCTGGAACTGGTTTACAACAACTGGATGAAGTAGAGGTCTATATTTCAACGCATCACCAGGGGTGTGATCAAGTTGTTATGCAAGGACAAGAACTGTGGGGATGGGATAAATAACTTTTTGCTTTTGACGATGTTAAATATCGTGTTGAAGATATTAGCCAAGATCTGATTGGCACCGAAAAGACTTGTACTGTGAATGGCAGGACTATTCACAATAACCTTCATATGATACGCTTAATCATCGAATTGCAGAATATACCATGACTAATCTGAAAGCTTAAACAAAGTTTTGCAATAGTCACTCAGAAGTGTTGCTATCTGAAATTACTATTAATTTAGCTGTAACGAGATCCTCAATTTATATAGCATTATCCTTATTCACAAACGCATCAGGCCTGCCACAGTGGAGCCTATCACTAAGATCAGTTTCTCCTTTTTCATCAGCGTTGTCATTAACTGTATTTACTCGCTTCCTTAATGGGATTAGAGCGGGTACATCATCTCCATAAGCTTTCTGTACCTTCATTCGAAATCCTAACGTCTTTTCTGCCTCTAAAATTCTGTGAGGTATCTTTTTTGATGCGTGTTGTCAACGCGATAGTCATGTTGTGTGTAGAACAAAATATGGTAGTTTTACAAATTTTCAACCTAGACTTGTAAAAAAAAATGGAATTTGGACAAATTATTTAAAAATTAAATGAGAAGATGCTTTGCCTTTTGACCGACTCTTGTATAACGATGTATTTTTTGATAATAGAAATAAGTTATTTGATATATTTTTTCTATTCGAAGTGATTTCCATAGGATAAAACTCATTTGTCATACCGAAATTAGAATAAAGATCGCGAAATTACGTCAGCATAAGAATATAGTACAGGTAATAAATTCTTGTAATGGTTCTTCGAAAAGTGCTTCTCGCAATGTCATAAAGATTGATAGGCAATGGCTATGAGGACCGCCCAAATGTGGACAACCGTGAAAAAATATCCGAATAGATAGGTACATCCATCGGATGTCAGTTTGCAATAAGAAAATAATTTCCGTCAATGTCAGAAAGGATATAGTTAAAATATACGATTTGAAAATAGATGTGTCTTTCATAGAAAATCATCTGATAAAACATATTTGTTTTTCTCCTAAACAATGAACAGCACATGAAACAATAATAAAAAAAATAACATTTGCTTTAACGGTTTTTCTGAATACACGTTCCAAGGAAAAGCATGTTGCAATAGAAGTTCTGTTACCTTTCTAAAATTTATGTATCAACAACATTTTCAGCAAAACATCTATTTTATATATTTCCTTTTAAGTCCTCTTCAGTTTCCTACTCTGGACATAGCTACATAGAGCTGACCATGAGAGAAACATTTGAATAATTTTCTAACGTTTGTAATAATAATAATAATAATAATAATAATAATAATAATAATAATACATGAATTCAGCAAACTTATTTTTTCACTTCAGTACAATTTTAAGAAGATTTAATTAAACAGATCATTTTCACTTATTTAGAAGATAGAAATTCGTGAAGGTCCTTGGTCACCTTTTCTTGGAGTAATATAACGTGTTCGACTGGCTGCCACCGAAAGCAAGAGAGACCAATCTACTATGCTATTTAACCCATAGCTTCGAAAAAAGGCGACGGATTTATGTCTTTCTTAAGGGCATATAATAATACTTTTGGGCGCCTGGCCGAGTGGTTAGAACGTTTGTTTCTGACCATAAAACCCGGGTAGGAATCTCATCATGGTCGATTAAACAGTAAGGTGAAAATCAAAATAAGAGTACGTCTACATTTGAAATTTCTAGGACACATAATGAGGAAAGATGGCTTGAAGAATTTGGCACTCATGGGACATATTGACGGTAACAGGGACAAGCGGAAACAGCGAGTAATATAATAAGCTTGTGCAAATGGATTTCAAAATAGAGAGGGATAGTGATAAGACAACCATTGTAGCTACAAACGAGAGGATGTTGTGGCGGACCATGGCTACCTACGTCCTGAAGGGATACACCATATTGATAATGGATATACAACTATTTCAGTATATGAAAACGTCGTACAGAATTTCAAATGTATCTGTGCATGTTTTTTCGACGACTTTTTTAATGTCATATTTCTTTAGGACGTAGACTCTCCAGAACATTCTTTTTCTTTATTATCGATGAGTTGTCGTGACTTCTTACAATAGAGAACGTAGTGGTTTCCTGTTGCTTTCTACAAGGTTTTGAGTCGAAAGTAGTACTTCTAGACTGGCTGCCATCGAAGGCTAGAGAGACCAATCTCCTTTGCTATTTAACTCATAACTTCGGTAACGGTGACAGCTTCATGTCTTTCTCAAGGGCATATAATAATACTTCTATTTTTTAATTTACTAGCCGAATACACGTCTGACGGACAGAAAAATGCAGCTTGTAATAGAAGTTCTCTTACCTGTCAGAAAGATTTCTGTATAAACAATATTTTTCACAAAGACATCTATTTTTAAAAGTTCTTTTTGTCAATATACTAAGGGCATAACTACATACAGCTGACCCTAAGAAAAACGTTTGTTTTTCTTGAGGTACTTGCCAAACCTTCGAAAGGATTTATAAATTGTGGGACCAGATGATAGCTTGACAAAAAAAAAAAAAATGATGCCTTTGCACTTAGAATGGCAGCACATAATCATTTGGTGATATTGTTATTCTTGAAATAAATGTACTTTTCTGTACTACCTGGCATAGAGTTTGAACCCATAACTTCCAGTGAACTAAATTATATTTTACTAGTACATTAATCCATTTATCGTGTGAGACACTCGTGTTTCAGTTGTCTTTATACTAATTCCACTTGTATTTCCTACTCTGGACATAGTTATATAGAGATGACCATGAGAGAATCATCTTAATTATTTTTCTTGTTATATTACTAATAGTTAATAAAACTGAATTAAGTTAACTTATTTTTTCGCGAGTTTAAATAATTTGGTCGAGTTTTAAGAAAATCTAATGAAGCTAATAATTTTTACTTGTTTAGAGGATTCTCTAATTTTTTCGGTTTCACTCAATTAATTCGTAGTAATGTGAAATGGCAGACAACAACAATGGTTATTATTACGAACGATGCAGGAAAAAAAAGATATTAAATTTAACTAACGTTGCCGGGCCTACAGTTCTAAAAGTAATTAATAGTGGTTTAATTATTTACGTTATGTTTCCTTCTAGAAAATAAGATGAACTTAATTTTAGAAGACAATCAATTGCTAAGTTTGCTGTTAAGAATGTTATATATGACCGTGAAATAGCTTACACACACGCATAAATAGATAGACAGATAGATAGATAGATAGATAGATAGATAGATAGAATGACAGGTAAGATTTAGGCGCTTCTCTATAAAGATTATTGTCTCAAAGACAAAAAAAATGTTGTAATCAATTCAATCATCATTCTGTGCTTCATAGTGAAACTTTATAAAAGTTTTAATAAACTAGCTGAAAACCCACCCTGCGTATAGAGAAAAGTTCTCTTATCTCTAAAATTTCTGTATAAACATTTTCAGCATGACATCTATTTTCTAAAGTTCTTTTTGTCCTTATTGATATAATGACAAAAAGAATTCCCTACTCTCGACATAGCGCTGACCACTGGAAAAAAAAACATATTAGTCATTTTAGATTGGTTACTAGTTTTCAGTTTAACTGTAGAAGTAGGTAAATTTGGGCACCTCGGGGGGGGTGTTATGGTTAGCAAGCGTGTCTCGCTAGAATAATTACGACTGAGTAGTGAGTTCGATCCTCACTGAATGCCCCATATTTTCAGCCTTGTGCCACATCTGAGCTACGCTTGGAAAATCGTCACAGACACCTCGAGTTGGTGTAATGGTTAGCAAGCTTGTCTTGCTAGAACAATTACGACGGAGTAGTGAGTTCGATCCTCACTGGGTGCTCCATACTTTCGGCCTTGTGCCACATCTGAGCTACGCTTGGAAAATCGTCATGGACACCTCGAGTTGGTGTAATGGTTAGCAAGCGTGTCTCGCTAGAACAATTAGGACTGAGTAGTGAGTTCGATCCTCACTGGGTGCCCCATACTTTCGGACTTGTGCCACATCTGAGCTAGGCTTGGAAAATCACTAGAAGTAGGTAAATTTAACCTGGTGTTTTATTGTATTAGTGTCTTTTCTCTCACCTCTCACCTCTGAAGCTCTCTTCCTGTGTCTTGCTTCACTGCCACCCACGTTCTTCAAATATTTTAATGCAACGTTAGTCTTAATCTTCTGTCTTTCGGAATCCTGTTCCTTCATTGTCTTTTTTCCTCACTAAGGTCTCCTCACTCAATTTCACTCTTATTATCCCCTTGCGTCTTAGTGGTATTATCGCCTTACTTGGTTTGAAATAATTAAAAACATATTTCTCAAAAATGATATTTTCATTAGTTTAAGGATGTGCAGGTGGTGTATTGGGTAGCGGCTCGGAATTGGAAATCGCTTTGTCGAGTTTATTACATTCACTTATGTACAAATATACTTTGAAAAGGTACGAATATATCTTCTACCTCCAGATATGGGTTAAATAGTAAGAATTTTATCTGGAAAATCCTTTTTATACTAAATTCTTAATATAATATTTTGTAAAAAAAACAAAACAAACTATTCTTATAATTCAAAATATATTTCGCCTTTAACTAAACCCAAGTGTTCCGTAACAATCATATCAATTAATCACTTGTTTAAATACTTCGGTACATATTTACGATAATATAATTAAGAAGATTATTTTATTTTATTTCGATAGATAAATTTATTCTCCTCGGCTCAGCTAATTCATTATAATGTGAAATGTCAGACGACACTAATGGTTATTGCGAACGCTGCGGGATATAACATCGTACCTCACATTGCTGGGCTTAAAATTATAGAATCCTATAAATATTTAAAATACATTCTTTGCTATATGCTGGATTCTTAAAAGACTTTATTTTTAGGAGCTGAGGTAACGTACGTACTAACTAACTAAAAGACCAAACAGAATTATGCTCTGGTAATAACAGGTGGAGAAACATAAATAATGTCTTTTCCGTGACTCGCATTGTTTATTAAACTCACAAAATTTTGGACAATTTATCCTCTGGCTTTCTTCCAAAGCCTGTCGTCAAACATATCTTCTTGGAACTTTAAACTTTTGTTTATTACTTGGAACGAGCTTGCATACGGTCATATCATGTTAAAACACCGGTTCTCATTCGATCACCGAAGTTAAGCAACGTTGATCCTGGTCAGTATCTAGATTGATAGCGTGGTTTGTTTTTTAGCGGTTTATCAACATTTTACAGGTTATTTAAAGCCATAAAAGATTTTAAATTGTAAGAATAATTTGGAGATAATGATTTACTGATACAGCCTATAACTGGGGTAGGTGGGAAGAGACAGATTCCTACATTTCGCAAGGGTATTTGCACGTAAGTGAATATAACGAATCCAACTGGAATTGGAACTCGGCTCTCCGATTTCAAATTTCGAACCATCATCCATTATACCATTCGCACATTCAATCTTACAGCAGCTGATATTACCAAGCTATCACCCCATCTACACATTGACCAGTCTCAATGTTGCATTACTTTGATATTAAAGTTTAGCATCTCTACATCTTCATATATATATATATATATATATATATATATAGGGTGACCCAGAAAATGGGAACTTTTTAACAATCCAATAAAACCAAGAGTGATGGAAGAAAAATATTTTATTCATAGTAATTGAAAACTTAACACATGCCATTTAAGAAACAATGATGGAATTTACATTTCTAAAAAATTACGTCCTGTAGATGGCGTCCTCCTGTACGAATGAATTCTTGAAATCTGCTGTTGAGATTCCTCATTGACTGCTGCAGCGTCTTAGCTGGGATACTGTGAATTTCATCTTGAATTCTAGATGGCGAAATGTTTACTTGCTCAAGGTCACTGTCTCGCAGTGTTGCCACTTGCTCATGTCTGGCAATATGCACTTAAAAAAAATTCAAAATATTTTTATATATATATATATATATATATATATATATATATATATATATATATATTCTTTAAGAATATATATATATAATTAAAGAATATCAAACACGTAAAATCTCATAGGTAATAATTTTATTTCATGAGAGCTCTAAAAACAGCAGCTCTCAATCTTCAAGACCTACACAAACATTGCATTTTACCTGTTTAATATTCTTCAAATAATAATAATAATAATAATAATAATAATATATATATATATATATATATATATATATATATATGAGGGTAGGAGGCGAAAATATAAACGAAACCGTTGGTAACAATTATACATCGAGAGGAATGATAAAGATGTAGGGATACTAAACTTTAATATGAAATTTATATTTTCTGCTCTCCGATGTGTCTAGACGTACAGCTCAGCCAATTTCATTTAGCTTTCCAACGCTTTTGCGTTTATCGCAGTTATTTTTAAATATCCCATGTTGTGATAACTGTAGATTTGTTAATGATTATGAATATGGACTCAATTTTAACGTGGAAGATTCAGAAATCAGTGCACTTTCTGTATATTTTCGTTTTACTAATACACCTTTTAATTAAAACTGCAATCTTTAAGTCTAAATCATGGTCAGAGTCCTGAATGACTAATGCACTGAGTGCGCTCATTTATAAAAGATCCATTTTGGGTTTATATACTATTTTATCTAAATTCCTCGTAGTTTCAACCGGATTGAAAATAAAAAAGTCAATTTTTTATCAAATCAATACACTATAATGCTACTAAGACACAAGGGGTTTCTGATAGTGAAAGCATCTAAGAAAACGTAGGTGAGTAGGCAGGGCCATAAAATGTGAGAATTCAAGAAGACAGAAGATGGTAATTGATGTTACATTTAAAGAAATCGGATTAGAGTCCCACAGACGAGTAGCGCGAGAAAAGAAACTATTCGAACCAAACTTATGGCTACATCTCTATTTCAACTGTAAATCAATAGCTATGAAGAATAGACCAAAGTTAGACAAAAGGCTACGGCCATCAATAGACTCTCGTCTTTTTCAACTGTTTGAAGTCATATACCGTGAAGTGATCCTTGTTCATGCTTTCGCATACGCCCATGTCACGTTGGGCACCTCGAGTCGGTGTCATGGTTAGCAAGTTTGTCTTACTAGAACGATTACGACTGAATAGTGAGTTTGATCCTCACTGGGTACCCCATGCTTTCGGCCTTGTGCCGCATCTAGGCTACGCTTAGAAAATCATATAATGGGCACGCCCAGGCGGTGTAATAGTTAGCAAGCTTGTCTCGCTAGCACAATTACGAATGAGTTGTGAGTTCGATCCTCACTGGGTGCCCCATATTTTCGGTTTTGTGCCACATCTAAGTTACGCTTAGAAAATCGCTACGCCCATGTCACGTTGAAACATCACTTCCCGTACGATCCCCGAAGTTAAGCAACATCGAGCATAGTCAGTAACTAGATGGGTGAGCGCTGTAAGCTTAGATGTGCGGGTGGTATAATGGATCGTTATTATTAATCGGAGGGCTGAGTTCTAATTCCAGTCAGGTTCGTTATATTTTCTTACGTGCAAATACCAACATTTCTTTCCTAACTAATGTTTAATCACTAAGATTGTATCATTAAATATTTTCTCAAAAATGTTTTTATAGTCTACATATATTTTCTGGCTTTAAATAACCTGCAAAGGTTTGATAAACTGTAAAGAAATCAATGAATGACCCAGGATCGCTTACAGTTTCCTTTCAGTTTTTATAATTGGATAATTAAAAAAAAAAAACTTTACTGAAGCTAATATCCACGATTATTGGGAAAGGTTCGATCTACCACTTACTCTGGGTCGCTTACAGTTTCTTCTTAGTTTTCAAAGTCGGATAATTAAAGAAAATCTTTACTGCCGCTAATATCCAAGACTAGGTTATCCAAGTTTTCTGAATATTCTGTCTCGATCATTTTAACTGATGCATTGGTGCTTTCTGCTCGCTGTGTGTTGATTTTGGTATCGCTCTGTAGAGTTTAAAATCCGTTTTGTTTTTTGGTCAATCTCACTTTAAATCTCATTTTGTCAGCTTCCACTAGATCCTAAGTAGTTCCTCCTCAGTTTGGATATGTGATTGTCTGGGATCAACTTGACGGCGGTAACAACTATGAACCTTTCGTTTTACGTTGCTTTCTCAGAGGCACTTGTATTTGGTGATGTTGACAGATGCATTCTCAGGCTGTTAGCGGACATTTTCTATCTCATAGAATGGTATTTTTCACTGGCGTACTTTGTGTATTTGACGTGTCTTGACCTTCTCAAATTCCAAGTCCTTTTGAATGTAATTTTTACACCTTTCTGATGTTATTCTGTCCAGGAGCGGTTCCATCTGGTTAGATATTTCACACTGGAATTGAGTTTTCTTTCCGAAACCTTTACGGCTCTTCTGAAATGGATTGATGTACAGATAGTTAAACAGATTGGAATGAGTTTCAGTCCCCTACATCTACAGAGAAATGAGAGATGGTTGCTTATTCGTTAAGTTAATTGATTTTATGTCAACCCTAGTTGGGTCATTCAGTGCAGAAGTTAGTCTTTTATCAATCATAATATTTTCTCAGAAGTAAATATTTAAATAAATCCTATAAGATAGAAATCTTAATAAATTAATAAATCCCTTTAATATTCGCCTTTCTGCATCAATTGTCAACAAAAATTTTTCATGATTTCTTCATGTTACATACACACGCGCATGCGTGCGCCCATTCTTTCAGTATATTTTGCGATGGCGGGAATATACGCGTTCCCCTTCAGGCCGTCAGTCAGCTTTAGCGCCAGTAGGCGTCCGAGGCAAGGAGCCTCTTTGAGGGCAAGGAGCCTCTTTGAGGGATTGCTACAGGTTTAGGATCTGCTCAGTGGCGACGTTATGAGTTTAGTTTTGGATGTATCTTATCTTTGTTGTTTTAGTATAACATTTCGGTCGATAGGTTCTTCGGCCTTCTTGTGCTGTGTGAAGTTCTCAGATTAAGTGTTTTCATTATTTTTCATCTTTCGTGCAGCTGTCTTTATTTGTTGTTTTAGTATAACATTTCGGCCGATAGGTTCTTCGTCCTTCTTGCGTTGTGTGAAGTTCCAGGATTGATAATGTTCATGATTTCACACATTTTGTATTATGTTTATCTTTGTTGTCTTTAGCACAACGTTTCGACCAATATTTTCTTTTGTATGCTGTAGAAGTTTAGTTAAAGCACCATTTGTATAAGAATAAAAACACATAAATGAGCACTATTTTAACATGGAGAGATATCCATAGACATGAGGCAAAATTTTACCAGCTTCTGAAAGTAGATATCAAATGAGACCACCACCATCATATTCAGGCTCAACAACAACGGCATACATTTTAAAATGATTGCTAGAATGTGTTAATGTTAACATCTAAAAAAAAAAAATATGTTTCCTATATTTGCGAAAATTTGTTGTCTATCAAGAAGTTAATTTCTTTTATTACCCATCTATCGCTGGACAGTGTCTGTTACGTTCATCAGTAATTGTGCCACTGTTAAAAATAGTCTATCAAGTTCGTGGCTATCTATGTTATAATGACCGCTGATAAAACTGTTACGTATTAAACGTACTAAAGTTTTTTTTTTTATAAACCTTATCTATATGAATAAATGAGGAATTGGAGCACAATTGTCCCGCGAATTCTGGGGTTATTTACTCAAAGAGATCAGGTTGTGACGCAAGGTCGGTTTAATGTGGGGAGCCCGAGCGCGTACACCCGGGCTAGAAACAAAAATTGCCCGCAGCCACCCGGAATCGTCGGTTGCGCTGGACTCGGTGCAAGCACTGATTCCTCTCTCTAGCGCAATGAGAAGGCGCGGCGTCGGGCAGCTGTTCCCCAGTGCTGGGCACCTATCAGTATAATTTTCCTCAGTTGCAACGCTGTCCTCTGACGGAGTCGCCCCAGAGTAGAGACGCAACTGAGAGATGATAAACAAACGTGTTACAAACTACTTTATAGTAATTTATATTTACTTAACCCCACACCCACTCCAACGAGGTCAGGTTGTGACACAAGGTTGTTTTAATGTGGGGAGCCCGAATGAGAGGGCGCGGCCACGTACAGCTGTTTCCCAGGGCTGGGCACCTCTCAGTATAATTTTCTACAGTTGCGACTCTGTCGCCCCTGAATAGCGACACAACTGAGAGATAATGAATAAACGTGTTAAAAAATGCTTTATAGTATTTTATATTTACTCAATCTCCCCACGAGGTCAGGTTGTGACCCAAGGTCAGTTTACTGTGGGGAGCCCGAGCGCGTACACCCGGGCTAGAAACAAAAATTTGCCCGCAGCCCTCGCAAGCGTCGGTCGCGCTGGCCTCGGTGCCAGCACCGATTTCTCTCTCTAGTGCAATGAGAGGCCGCGGCCTCGAGTAGATGTTCCTCGGGGCTGGGCACCTCTCAGTATAATTTTCCTCAGTTGTGATTCTGTCCTCTGACGGAGTCGCCTCTGAGTAGAGACGCAACTGAGAGATGATGAATAAAAGTATTACAAACTACTTTATATTAATTTATAGTAATTTATATTTACTTAAACCCACAGGGTCAGGTTGTGACACCAGGTCGGTTTAATGTGGGGAGCCCGAATGAAAGGGCGCGTCCACGGGCAGCTGTTCCCCAGGGATTGTCACCTCTCAGTATAATTTTCCTCAGTTGCGACTCTGTCCTCTGTCGCCCCTGAGTAGAGACGCAACTGAGAGATGATAAATAAACGTGTTACAAACTACTTTGTAGTAAAATTTATTTTCGGGCCACTCGAGGCAGAGGTCTACGTGAAGAGGTTGTTTATGCGGAGAGGAATGGAATATAACTGTTAAATCTAGACTTGAACAGGTTAAGATCCTGGAAACATCCTCTTGGGAGTCGGTTCCACAAAGTAGTTGTTCGGGGGAAGATGTTCGATTGGAATTTACTTCTCGCCGATGGAATACGAAGGGAATGTGGGTGGTTTGCTACAATGTGAGCGACATGACGGGTCATAGCCGTGAAGCTTAGAATTGGCGGAACCAAGGAATGTAGTTCGTCCGAGCACATTCCATGGAAGTAGCGATAGAGCAGTGAGAGGCTTGCCACGTCCCGCCTCTGTGTGTGTGTGTGTGTTTGAAAGAGAGAGAGAGAGAGAGAGAGAGAGAAGGATAGAGAGAGAGAAGGAGAGAGAGAAGGAGGATATAGAGAGATAGGAGAGAGAGAAGTAGAGAGAGAGAAGGATAGAGAGATAGAAGGAGAGAGAGAAAGAGAGAGAAGGAGAGAGAGAAAGATAGAGAGATAGAAGGAGAGAGAGGAGGAAAGAGAGAAAGATAGAGAGATAGAATGAGAGAGAGAATGAGAGAGAGAAGGAGCCAGAGAAGGATAGAGAGAGAGAAGGATAGAGAGATAAAAGGAGAGAGAGAATGAGAGAGAAAGAGAAGGAGAGAGAGAAGGATAGATAGATAGAAGGAGAGAGAGAAGGAGAGAGAAAAGGATAGAGAGATAGAAGGAGAGAGAAGGAAAGAGACAGACGGATAGAGAGATAGAAGGAGAGGGAGGAGGAGAGAGAGGAGAAGAGAGAGAGAGAGAAGGATAGAGAGATAGAAGGAGAGAGAGAAGGATAGAGAGAGAGAGAGAAGGATAGAGAGAGAGAAGGAGAGAGAGAGAGATTGGAGTATGGAAAATAATTTGTGCCCCAAAAGGACTCCCTTTTGGACTCTATCAAGACTGGAATGTGAGGACTGTGTACAGTTCCCACTCAAATGTGACAATAGTACTACACTTTAGGTCTGTTCTGTCTCTTGTAAATGTAGAAGATCACATGCGGAGTCAGGTACTTACTGGAACTGGAAAGGTACAGTGTGCCGTCCATTTTTCCTGAATCTTTTGCGAGAGATCGTATGTACGAGTCCCACTTGAGGTCAGGTGTGAGTTTAAGCACTAAGCAAGGTATTGTATTTTTTTATATTTTTGTTTTCTGTAATGTCAAAATTCATTCTTTACCCAAGCACGTTACTATATATTTTTGGGGGTGGGTATATTGTACATCTCCCAGAGAGCCTATTCACTCTTAAACGATCTAGACTTGCTTGTCTGTACATTTGTCTAGTGTAGGGAAATACTAGCAATGTTTCATTTGTTGAGAAGGGTTTGTCGGGCGGAATACAATTCTTCGCCTATATGTCAGTGTAAACGCTTCTGAACACTGTCAAGACTGGAAAGTGAGGATTAGACAGCTTTAGTTCAGATATGGCAGCAAACCTCCATTTTTGACCTGATCTTTTTTTTTTTATTTTTTTTTTTTTTTTTTAAATCATTCCACCCGATGAAAATGCCAGTAACAACCAAAAAGTTACCAAGAGTGGAAGAGAACAAGGAAGCATTAATTCGGAGAAAAGACACTAAAAGAACAGTTTTCATAATGACAGTACTGGCGATTGCCGTTGCATATTGATTTTCGAAGATGTTAAGATGTTCCACAGGCGAGAAGTGCGAGAAAAGAAACTATTAGAATAGAACTTACGGTTACATCAAGCTATTCAAACAGTAAAGCGATGAGACCTAACTGCCAAACTAGTAATTCATTCGGCCGAGAAACCAAGGAGGAGAGCTTGGTAGAACAACTGCAATGGAAATATTTATAGAAAAGACAGAGGGAAGCCATGTCACGGCGATGGGAAAGTGACTGAAGTCGAGATGCCAGTTCAGGACCGATAACATTACAGACCCTTCTTTGGATTTTTGTCAAGAATCTCAAGATAGCCGGATTACCAAACCAGTTATAGCAGCAATATTTAATGCACAGAAGAATGGTAGATTTATAAATGTGCAAGATGGATTGTCTGCCACGATACCGTGAAACAGCCTTCTTAGCAGTAGACATAGCCATTGATTCAATATAACCACTCCACTTTGTCAGAAGAAAAGGTGAGACCAAGAAGACGTAATGAGTTGCTCCATTGGAGGTTAGCATTAGCCACGCTAATGGCGGTGGGGCAAGATGGTTCTCTAGGATGATTAAAGGATAGTAGTTTATAAGCCATTTCTTGTTAGTTTTACTTTGTCCGATTTACTATTAAAACATGAGCAAATAGATATGCCATCAGCTTATATACCTAGTTGTGACATGATGACATCGGGAACGTTGTACGTTAAGATAAAAATAATGTAGGTCCAAGGGAAACCCCGCATTGATGTGAAATGATCTAGAAGCCGTTCTATACAGTTTGTTAAAAACGATTGGATTATATCAAATATCAGGCCAGAGACACTATAACCCTTAAACTTGTGGAGAAAGCCTGCACGTCAAACCCTGTCACGCATCTCCGCGACATCTAAAGCCACAGCCCGACTCTCGCCAATTCTTATCTGAAAACCTGATAGAAAAATTCTGTGAAAGAACAAAAAAAAGAAAAAAAGAAAAAAACAAAACAAAAAAACAAACAAAAAATAAAAGAAAACAGAGCAAAAAAAATAAAACAAAACAAAAAACAAAAAAACGAATCAAGATACTGACCAGGATCAGCCTTGCTTAAATCCTGTGATTGAACGAGGATCGGTGTTTCAAGGTGATATAACCGTAATCAATTTCCTTTCAAGGATTAAATAAAAGTTTTAAAGTTCCGAGAAAATTACTGTTTATGACGACAGACATAAAAAGAAATCTGGAATAGTCTAACAAGCAAAATGAGTATTGGAAAGGCATATACAGGGTATCCTTAAATATATGCACAAATACACGCATATATATATATATATATATATATATACACGCATATATATATATATATATATAGTTCAACGTATGAGGGTCAAGCAGAGGAGTTCCCAGGAAACCGACAGCTCGACAACGGCATATGAGATTTGATTATAGTGGTGAAGGTTTCGTGCAGGACCATCCACACTTTTTGAAGGGCCGAATTCAGAGACCTGGTGCACTACGTGCCACAAGGTCCCCAAACGATCCTCCGCAGGTTTTGAATTCAGATCTCCTAGATCAGTTGCCATCCAAGGCTATAGAACCCAGTCTGTCCTACTATTTATCCATAGAGAATTCACACCTTTCCCAATGGTATTAGCACGTAAGTGAATGTGATGGATTCGACTGGAATTCGAACTCGGCTCTGCGATTCCTCAATCCAAGCCGCTATCCATTACTCCACTCTGTGTGTGTGTGTGTGTGTGTGTGTGTGTGTGTGTGTGTGTGTGTGTGTGTGTGTGTGTGTGTGCGTGTGCGTGTGTGTGCGTGTGTGTGTGTGTGTGTGTCCATAAAGTTCATTCATGTGCACATTATAACGTTATTTGTATTTGCGATAGAAATAATTTGTAAAAAGGATTAGAAATAAATAAATCTATATTTTATAAGGTTTTATTGAAATTTTATTTAAGTATTTAAAAAAATGGTATGAAGTATAATGTACCTAATTTTAAGTATAGCTAAAATAACTAATGTAATTTCAGGCATTACTGTAAATCAGTTGGCAAATGTTTTCCGTGAATTGCAAAATCGTATTACCCTTTGTATTGCTAATGATGGAGGACATCTGGAAACTTAAATAAAATTTCAATAAAACCTTAAAACATATAGATTTACTTCTTTCTAATCCTTTTTACAAATTATTTCTATCGCAAATACATATAAAGTTATAAATTTTTTAAAGTGCACACGAACTTTATGGACACCCTGTATTAACGTTTCTTCACGCGTTAATATCATTGCATAATTCTTATTCCCTAGCTAGTTGGCACGTACGTTATACCCCACCAATGCCTCAGATATATAATGGATTATTCCGTTTGAGTGTTTCTCTTCCAGCTATGGTTTAAATAGTAGAACTTGTATCAGAAAATCATAATTATCGCCCCAAAATTATTAGAATCCCAAAACATATTACGGCTATAAATAACCTGAAAAATATTGATAAACCGTAAAAAAGAATTCAATCAATAATCTGATACTAATTAATTCCTCTTATAATTTTCTGGTTTTATTTAATTAGTTATTTATTAAATTGTATTTGTGTATCTGTTTTGAAGAATTTCATTTTGTAAACGCGACATATTCTTTTTATTTCCTCTGTAGAACGAGTCAAAATTCGCTTCTGAACTCTGTGCCATATTAGAAAGACGAAAGAAGATGTACGATTCTAAGAACCCGGATGAATCTGGCGGCAATTGGGAGCAAGGAAACAATGGTAATACAGAGTGTGGCTCAACACACAATCCAGTGATTAATGACTTCCGCGTTCCCTATTTGTTTGTCTCACTTTTGCTTCTTACCATAGTAAATCTTAGAAACGAAACATTCTCTCTCTTTCTCTCTCTGTATATTTATACATATATGACATGTGAATTTTTCCGGCAGACTGACTTAAGTAGTTTAATATTCCTTTAATATTACATTTTGATACAAACAAGATGTGTCATTCGACGCAAGTAAAAGCATAATATCGCATTATTAAGTAGGAAGATCAGAAAGCTAATACATTCTTTACGTGTTAACTTTGTGCATATTTTTCTTTTAAGTACATAGATAAAATCCAAGATTAATGATAGAGAAAATATAACCAATACAGCAATAAAATTATACATGGCAGCCATATTTGAAAGAGAAAAAAAGTAAAGTGTAAAGAGTAATTCAAGAATATTTTATGAAGCAACTTAAAATTGGACTTGTTAATAGACTATCAATAATTTCAACTGTTTTTCCTACTGAATTTTGATTAATTTATCCACCCTTTCAATTGTTTTCCCTACTGAATTGAAATCAATTTATACAACATTCCAATTCTTTTCCCTACTCAATTTTGATAAGTTTGTCCAACATTTCAATTGTTTTCCATGCTGAATTTTGATTAATTTATCCAGCATTTCAATTGTTTTCTCTACTGAATTTTGATAGGCTTATCTACCATTTTAATTGTTTTCCCTACTAAATTTTGATTGATTTATCTACCATTCCAATCTTTTCCCTAGTTAATTTTGATAGGCTTATCCACCATTTTAATTGTTTTTCCTACTAAATTTTGATTGATTTATCTACCATTCCAATCGTTTCCCTAGTTAATTTTGATAGGCTTATCCACCATTTTAATTGTTTTTCCTACTAAATTTTGATTGATTTATCTACCATTCCAATCGTTTCCCTAGTTAATTTTCATAGGCTTATCCACCATTTTAATTGTTTTCCCAACTCAATTTTGATAGGTTTATTCACCATTTCAATCATTCTACATACTGAATTTTGATTGATATATCCATCTTCAATTTTTTCCTACTGAATTTTGATTGGTTTATCCATCATTTTAATTGTTTCCCTCGAATTTTCATTCGTTTATCCACTATTTCTATTGTTTTCCCTACTGAATTTTCATTGTTTTATCCATCATTTCAATTGTTTTCTAACTGAATTTTCATTGTTTTATCCACCATTTGAATTTTTGTTTTCCCTACTGAATTTTCATTGTTTTATCCACCATTTTCATTGTTTTCCCTACTTCATTTTGATTGATTGATGCACCATTTCAATTGTTTTCCCTACTTCATTTTAATTGATTTATCCATTTATATTGTTTTCTTTGCTGAACTTTGATTGATTTCAAAATTAGCGTTCTCTTGTTTACTTTACCAAAAAATCTATTTGTGGCTGATAATTTACTCTCATTTTTGTGTTGATCTGGATACATCATTGCATTTGCAATTTTGCAAGGGGATATATTTTCATTTCCCTGCTCATTACTTGAAAAAACCCTTTCTAATGATTTTGACCTTCGTGAATGAGGTGCAAGGGATTATATTTCTTTCATTTGAAAGTATTATTGCCAAGCTCTATTATATTTATTCACATGTTGTATGACTTTTGATACTGAAGTCGCTCATCAATCTCTGACCTTGTGTCACACTAGAAAATACATTGTATAGAGCTAAATAAACCTCAGTTAATTGGAAAAGCTTACTACAATTCAGTATTTTCCAATATTTGAAAAAAAAAATTGAATTTTTTTTTGTGTATATAAGCGTGCCGATTTCTTTAAATACGGACGTACATACACGACATTATCAGAAAATAAAATCAGTAACTATGGTAAATTTAAAGACAAAGTACCTAAAATTCAATAAAGGATTAGATTACGGAGAATATTTTTCTACATTTTCAAGATTACTAGGCAGTTAAAAAATGATATAAAAAGGCCTTCACGTTATATTCCTCAAATAATTTTGCGTTTCCCGTAGTAAAAAGGTAAACATCCGGTTGTCAGTCTTTGAATACCTAATCAAAACAATTTCTGTGTTAAATAATGTATTTATGCGATATTTTAAAATAAAAGTAAGTAATATATGTTTAAAATCAGATTAATTACACTTTAAATCAGCTAATAATCCTCGAATAAAATTTCAAGAAGTATAGTTTATTTTTGAATTTTTTTAATAAAGGGAAATACTGTTAGATGGCTGAAAATGGCTAAAATCAGCAACTTTTAACGATTTCAGAAGGAAAAAAAACTCCTTCCAGTCAATTTAAATTAGTTTTGAATTACAGAAAAGTATTTTGCTTAATGGAAATATATTTAATCCATTAGCTTGAATTTAAAACTAAAAAACTCAAGAAAGATATTTCATTTAAATAATTCATTTTAAAACTTAGGTATCACGTTTCTTTGGAGATGTCTAGTTCAGAGAATGTGACACTCCTAAAACGTATCGAGAGTAAAAGAGACAGAGGGGTGTCAGCTGGCTATCTTCCTGACGGGCTTATGTGAATGGATGGTGAGAGGGAGGGTATTATAGTAAAAAGAAAAGAACATTATTAATATGTACAACGGAGAACACTGATCGCTTAAGTCCTGAAATGACACGGTGCATACAGGAAAAAGAACCGTGCTTATCCTCCAATACTTGCCAGATGCAAAAAGTTTCCAAAAATTTGATCCACAACAGCATATTCCAAAATAGAAAACAAATACAATAAAACATTAAACAGGTAAAACCTGCCGGTCTTTTTAAAAATTGTATAGATGCAGCGTGCTCAAAAATCATAAGAACACAAGAAAAATTAAATAAAAAAAACTTAACCGCAGTACTCTTGTATAAAAGAGGGGTTGCTGCCCAAATAAACAATATACAGGGTGTCCATAAAATCTCTTCACAATTTAAGAAATATATTACAAAAGCAATTGATGTGACACCACAACTTAGATGACCTTCAACCATCCATCATTTTCCAACAAGATGGCGCACCACCAAATTAGGGATTGCATGTTCGTGGGTTCCCAAATCAAACATTTCCTGACCGGTGGATTGGAAGGGATGACCCAATTCACTGGCCACTTTATTCACCAGATATCACTCCCTTGGACTTCTTTCTCTGAGGTTATGTTAAAGATATCGTGTATCGAAAAAAGATACAGGACATCAGTGATCTAAAGCAAAAGATCACTGATGCCATTGTCACAATTTATGAGGCTATGCTACAGCAAACATAGAAAGAAATCGAGTACCGTCTTGATGTGCTTCATACAACTAATGGTACCCATATAGAGCTATATCAAATTAGTTAAAAAACAAAATCTTCAATATCTACTCTTCATTTTCTAACAATTTTCACATATTTGTCTGTTCTTTGCCTTTTGTGATAATGTTTTAAAACTGTAAGCAGAAACAGATTTATATTATTAATCTTCCTTATGCATAAAAATTTGTTCATCAATTTAATGCTTTATATGTACTTCCAAATTGTTTAACACAGTTTTCACCAAATAAAGGCCCCAAGAGCCACTCAAGGGAAAAGTTTACTGAATGGGGTAATTTTATGGACATAAGAGTAAAATTTAGTTGTTTCCTTTTCTTTAGCAGCATATCTCACCTCCATGGGTTATTTAATGCTAAAATCTAAGGATACAGAATAGACATCACTAATCTAAAGCAAAAGTGCCATTGCTACTATTGATGAGATATAACGAAATACAGAGGGATTATAAAGTCTCTTTATAATTTAAAAAAATATATTACAAAGGCAATTGATGTGGCATCAAAACTAGATGACCTTCAACCATCCATCATTTTCCAACAAGATGGCGCACCACCAAATTAGGGATTGCATGTTCGTGGATTCCTAAATCAAACATTTCCTGACCGGTGGATTGGAAGGGATGACCCAATTCCCTGGCCACTTTGTTCACCAGATATCACTCCCTTGGACTTCTTTCGATGGGGTTATGTTAAAGATATCGTGTATCGAAAAAAGATACAGGACATCAGTGATCTAAAGCAAAAGATCACTGATGCTACAGCGAACATAGTAAGAAATCGAGTATCGTTTTGATGTGCTTCATGCAACTAATGGTGTCCATATATCTATCTACTTCTCATTTTGTAACAATTTCTACATATTTGTCTGTTCATTTTCTTTTATAAAAAATTAAATCGTAAAGACCCTTTAAGGACAACACACACACACACACACACATATATATATATATATATATATATATATATATATATATATATATAGGTGACATCAGTATATATATATATATCTATATATATGACATCAGTCAGATCTTACCCAGAGGTAAGATATCAGACTGATATCACTGATGCCAAATTAATTGGGTTTCGATCCCGGATTGAAGCAAGAAGAGAGGTGCCGCAAACGTTTTTGGTTATAATGTGGATTTATTTAGAAAAAAAATATTAAATCCACATTACAAACAAAAACGTTTGCGGCACCTCTCTTCTCTTCTTTTTAATATACATACTTTTCTCTCGTTGGAACCACTACAACGTCTTTCTTTTATATATATATACATATATATATATATATGTGTGTGTGTGTGGCGGGGGAGAAACACAGGTAGACCAAGGAGAGAAACGAATTTTACAGTTTTACATTGTAAAAAGATATCTTTGGCTACATGCCTCAAGTTGTGCTGCATTTAATAAGTACATCATGGCTTGCCACAAATTTCGGAGAGTTTTTCATAATGGCGAAAGCCATCCTCACCTCCCCCATCCAGCCACATCATTTGCCCGAAACACATGGAATATCTCTCTAGGGCCTGCCCGAGACGTTTTAAAGTGGAGTGCCGCGAATTCGATATTAAACAGGCACACATGCATTTGTCTCATTTAGAAAGAACGTTTCGCATGGAGAACGAAACGAGAGATTAATAGTAATGTCATCTGTCAAGAACATTGTATGTGAATGTATAATAGAAAGAATTTTCATGTAGATTTCTCCTTTTTCTGTTCGCAGCGTCCGATCATGACATACCAGACTCCCGTAATTACTAAACCATCAGCTGAAAAGGCCATGCTTCCATGGAGAAATCGCAATTGGTTGCGCCATACACGGACAGAAGAATCGGAAGAAAAATCTATCTATCTATCTATCTATCTATCTATCTATCTATCTATCTATCTATCTATCTATCTATCTATCTCATTCTGTTTATTACCTAATTCTGTTTATTTTCTAATTCTGTTTCTCTCTATCTATCTAATTAATTTTGTTAATATCTATTTAATTGTGTTAATATCTATCTATCTATCTAATTCTGTTAATATCTATCTAATTAATTCTGTTAATATCTATCTATTTAATTTTTGTTAATATCTGTATAATTCTGTTAATATCTATGTAATTAATTTTGTTAATATCTATTTAATTGTGTTAATATCTATCTATCTATCTATCTATCTATCTATCTATCTATCTATCTCATTCTGTTTATTACCTAATTCTGTTTATTTTCTAATTCTGTTTATCTCTCTCTCTCTCTCTCTCTCTCTCTATCTATCTATTTAATTATTTAATTAATTCTGGTAATATCTATTTAATTTTTGTTAATATCTATCTAATTCTGTTAATATCTTATTAATTTTGTTACTATCTATTTAATTGTGTTAATATCTATCTATCTATCTATCTATCTATCTATCTATCTATCTATCTATCTAAACTTTTAATATTCTCTATGAAGAGTTGATTATTTCATAAAGAATACAGGTTAAGCAGTATAATATTTTTGTTTTTGTTATTTCGGACTGGCGTTACCGTATTTGATTTTTGTTTTTTACTATGTTTAATTTGCGTGACGTCAGTGTTCAAGCTGTTCCAAAAGTCTTGTCACCCTCTACCAAAAAGTGATGAGATACAATACGATAATAAAAAAGCACATGTACTTACTGGATTCTGTTTATTCACCGTTATTGATGCTGCCATACATCGAGAAGGTCATCATTTTCGTGGCACAAAATGATGCGGCGCCATGTCCTCTGTAATATTTTACGAAGCCGTGCTTTCTTGATTGCTGCAAAGGATCTCTGAACGGCATCCTTCAACTGATGGTCATTCCTGTATCGTTCATGTGAAATTCACTCCTCGATTATACCCCACAGAGTGTTGAAATAGAAAATTATATTATGTAGAGGTGACAAGACCTTCGGACCACCCTGTAGATCGTGATTTCAAAGTTTCACATATATCCATAAAAGAAACCTTATTCGATCTTAATGATTAAAAGCAAATAACCTGAATCATTAAATTAAATTTGGAATAAATTTTCTGTTAAAAATATAAACAAAAGGGAAAAAAGAGCCAAGAAAAATTGAAGAGGAAGCGAAGAAAAAGAAGAGAATGAAAATTTTACGTTCAACATTTTCAGTCCTGCGTTCCTGAACAATTTTAAATTTTAACTCTTCTGTCTGAATTCTTGAATCAAAATTCGCAAATAATTGGTATGTAATGTTTCACGGTAGATATAAAAATAGTTACAAGTGTTTACCCACCGTTCAACCCTCAGATGGACATTAAGTCATTTTTCTCTACCGGTGGTGGGCATTACGCCATTTTTCTCTACCAACGGAAAATCGGTGGTCAAGTGTTAATGATCATTTCTTTCTTTACAGGCGAACATAATGAAAAGTTGAAAAACAAATTTTGCAAGAAATATTTATGTCTCAATTTAATTTATCACCTTTTTTCTATTATTTGAGTATATACTTTTAAATGCCAGTTTTCAAAGATTATATATATATATATATATATATATATATATATATATATATAGAAAGGTTTCCTTAAATAATTTAGACACGTTCTGTCTAATTATTCTCTATAGGTTCCTTTCATATTCACCGATAAGTCTTTTTGCGCGATTATTAAAAGACGAGAGGAAAACATCGTGTTGGATCATAGTGTATTTATTTCCGAGTACTTTCGACAGAGCATAATGTCATCATTAGGGTATTGTTAATTATAGAGTAAGTATTTAGTGTTCATCGTTGGGAAGGACAAAAATTGTTGTGGGCATCCGAAAATTACCATTTTTATATGTGGAGTCAGAAGTGCTGTGTCATGGCTTGGGTGACGGACACCGTTTAAGGGGAGGTAACTAACTATGCTGTAGAAAACTTTTCCGGACTTGAGAAGTTGCTAGATAAAGCAAAAACTATTAATGACAAAAACTAACATTTAAAGACTATTGTACACATTTTAAAATGCTTGTGGAGTATTCGTAATTAATTTTATTGAGTTTTGGTTTCAGTTTTTTGATATAAATAGCTTCGAGAAATTTTACTTTGTGTTTATTCTTTTCGTGGAACAGTATGGAGGGGTTTTCGACGAGGATTTTTCTGAATTGCGAGTGTGGGCAGTTACATTGTTGTAAATGTTTAGAAATATTGGACGTGTTATTCAGGTGAAAACTTAGCTTAAGTGAAATTACCCTATAATTAACAATACCCTGATGATGACATTATGCTATGCCGGAAGTACTCGGGAATAAATACAGTATGAGCCAAAACGGTGTTTTCCTCTCGTTTTTTAATAACCGCACAAAAAAAACTTATCCGAGAATATGAAAGGATCCTATCGAGAATAAGTAGACAGAACATATCTAAATAATTTAGCAAAACCTGTCTTAATGAAAATATGCTGTCAAATATATATATATATATATATATATATATATATATATAAAAAGGAAGAAATACAGACATGAATGTAAACATACAGACGACGTAGTAAATTAATATATATATATATATATATATATATATATATATATATATATATATATATATATATATATATATGAATTTGAATTTCTACGTAGTAAATTAATTTATATATATTTGATTTTTAATACAGAAAAATTATTTACTATAATTATCCGTAATATCAATTGTCCCCGACTACGCAGTTTCGTGGCATTGTATTCCCTTTTCAAGAGGTTGGTTGATATGTTAAATATTTCCAATATATACACACACTGGGAGATTGAAAATTAACACCCTATTTTATGTAATATGGACTTTGGCGTCCTGTAAAAAGTATAGTTAGAGTAGAAAGTTCATTATACTTAAAATAGGGAGTTAATTTTCAATTACCCTGTATATATGCATTATGATTCGTCGTATGTGATTTTAAAGAAAATATCTTGTTTGTGGATAGAATTTGTCTTCTTATTAAAGGTCTAAATTAATCAGTCAAAATAAGCTAAACAAAAATGTCATAAACTATAATTACAATGTTAAATATGAAGAGATTTTCAATATTGTTTGAAACTATAAAGGCCAAAATTTGAAAATAAATATCATTTTTAACAATAATTTCAGTTTTTAGTATTGTGTTCATTTTCAAAAGTTAAAAAAAAAAAAAATCAGAAAAAGAAATTTATGATTTAAGTTGATGAATTGATTTATTTAATAAAAAATAATTAAAGTTATTCAGATTTTAATTATGAAAGCCAAGATTACGAACAGAAGATAAGAAAAAAAATAACACCTTTATATTTTATGTTTCCGGAACGATAACCGCGATCATCTTTTATTGAATTTTGACTTGCGCTTCTTCTTAATTTCAATTGCTTTTATTTTCATCGCAATGACTCCAATATTTATGGACGTCTAATCGTGTTTTACTGTTCTTGAAAATTAATTTGTAGATCTTGAATAGAGAGTTCTTCCCTCGGTGGTTGGCACATACCGGGTGTAACAGCAAAATTGCCCAAATCGTATAACAGCCTGGGATAATTGTCCATTCCACAAAATGTTTCATATCTAAAAAAAAAACAAAAAACAAACCCTAAACTAATTGAGTTTCTTTTTTCTAGGTTTTCAGATAAGACGTTTAGCCATCTTGACACCATTTGTCTTAAGAATCACTGAAAAATCCTTCAAGTTATTCAGTTAGAAAGAGAACAGGTTAAAATCGTTTTGTGTTAGTCTCACTATGTCTTCTCAACTGAGTAATAGTGAGAGGAAAAAGATCATTCAGGCCTTCAGTAATGGTATCAACATTCATACTCTGGCTTCCATCTTCATTCAAGAACAATCAAGAGAACAGTGATTCAGTTTTAAAAAGTGGGAACAGTAGAAAGGAAAACTGGATCAAGAGGTCAAAACAGGGACAGGGATCATAATTTCAACTTAGACCTAAATAAATTCTTATTGCCTAGACTAGAACCCAGTAGTGTTATAAAACCTCGAAGAATTCCAGTAAGATATCTTTAATCATTTCTATGATACAACGGTTCAAAGCTTAATCTAAAAATTGAGCAATTTTTCTGTTGCACGATTTGAACAATTTTGCTATTACACTCGGTTACTCGTTGTTTTGTGACAAAACTTAACTCACCATCAGAGCTGTTTCGACGTGAATGAACACTATATCTCATCTTCAGAATGGCTGCTCATTTTCAAGTATGCCCATCCGCTCAGCCATTACCCACAGAGTCAACTTGTGGTTTATACTGCAACTATACTGAGCAGACTTTAGTTACAGTACAAGTATGTGTGCCCCATCAGGGTTTTGAATCCAGATTCGTCCTTCTCCTATACTGTTTGCCAAAAACGGCTACAGACTCCAATCTGATTTACTATGTAATTCATAGTTGGGAAGGAGACGGATTCACATCTTTCCCAGAGGTATTTTTGTGAAAGCGAATGTAACAATATCAACCAGAATTTGAACTCGGAATTTTAATTTCTAGTATCCTAGATAAACCTAAAATTTTGCACGTCCAAAATTGTATTTCAACACCTGACACTTATTTGTATTTTGTGGAAACTTGCTAGGGTCGGTCTGAGTAGACGCGAAGTAACGAACTGAAATT